CACGGCGATGACGCAGCCCACGTGGGTGCGCGCGGCCGAGGGGATCAGCATGTTCAGCACCGAGGTGGACACGATGGCCAGCCCGAACACCCTGCAGGGGGACACGCCGGGTGACAGCCACGCCCTGAGGGCCACCAGCCCCGCCCAAGGGGCCACCATCCTCCCCTGAGGGCCACCACCCCCTCTGAGGGCCACCAAACCCACCTCGGGGCCACCAAACCCACCGAGGGGCCACCATCCTCCCCTGAGGGCCACCAAATCCATCTCGGGGCCACCATCCTCCCCTGAGGGTCACCAGACCCACCTCGGGGCCACCAACTCCTCCTGAGGGCCACCAACCTCTCCCCGGGGCCACCATCCTCCCCTGAGGGTCAACAAACCCACCTCGGGGCCACCAAACCCCCTTAGGGCCACCAGCCCCACCTCGGGGCCACCATCCTCCCCCCGGGGCCACCACCCCCCCCTCGGGGCCACCATCCTCCCCTGAGGGCCACCAAACCCCACCTTGGGGCCACCAAACCCACCTCGGGGCCACCATCCTCCCCTCTCGGGCCACCATCCTCCCCTCGGAGCCACCATCCTCCCTCTTGGGGGCACCAACTCCTCCCTGAGGGCCACCATCCTCCCCTGAGGGCCACCAAACCCCACCTTGGGGCCACCAACTCCCCCCGAGGGCCACCATCCTCCCCTCTCGGGCCACCATCCTCCCCTCTCGGGGCCACCATCCTCCCCTCTCGGGGCCACCCCCCGCCCCCCCGGGGCCACCCCCCACCTGTTGGCGGCGAATTTCTGGGCGATGAAGCCGCCGGGGATCTGGGTGACGATGTAGCCCCAGAAGAAGGAGCCGTGGATCATCCCCACGGTCTCGGGGTCCCAGTTGAACTGGGCGTGCTGGGGGGCGGTGGGGAGGGGTCACGCCCCGTGCAGGTGTGTGCCCCTCACACCTGTGCGGCTCCAGGTGACCCCCACGCACCTGTGACAGGCGCTGCTGCCCCACACCTGCCCCAGCCCCACACCTGGAGCGCGTTAATCCCATATGGGCCCGTGCCCATGGGCACGACTGAGCCCGCTGACCCCACACCTGAGCCCACACCTGACCCCGCACCT